AGAGAGAGAGAGAGAGAGAGAGAGAGAGGTGTGTGTGGTGCGATGACGGGTCACACACATACACTACCACACGTCGGCGGTGGTAGCAGTCGCCGGTATGGCCCTTGAACCAAAAAGAGGATGTGCTCCATTTGTTTGGGCGCGGCCCCCGCTGGACGGCGTGCCTGTCCGGGACGCCACCCCCGCTCGCCGAGGCCCTCGCTTCGCCCCGGATAGCCTGCTCTAGCTCCGGCCGTACTCTGTTTTCCACGCCTCAGCAAGCAATCGTTGTAATCCAATTTGCATCCTTATACCGCGGAGGCAGCTCGCGGGGCGGGAGGAGAATTTATAACCCGAATGTAACGTCCGGAGGAGAGAGAAGAAGGGAGGAAGAGTGGGTGGAGGAGGAGGTGAGAGGGAGAGCAGGGTGGAGCCGGAGAGAGAGGGAGAGCGACAGAGAGAGGGGTGCCAGCCAAGGGCATAAATGTGACGACGTCGGCGTCCCGGGAAATAAAAGCAGACGGAGTCAGTGGCGTGTGAAGGAGCTTCCTCCCCAGTGTCGTCTAGAGTGGGTGAGAGAGAGAGTGGGCGAGAGAGAGAGGGAGAGAGAGAGGTGGGGGGGGGGGGGGATAGAGAGACTGTAAGTTTGGACGACGCGCGACGCACAGGACAAGGCGAATGAGGGGCACTAGTGGGCAACCTTCCTCCCTCCTCCGTCCCCGCCCCCCATACCCCCGACCATTACGGAGTGACTATAGCGCGTTAAATGCGGCAGCCCTACGGTTGGCCAGCGTGGTAGCACCCCCCCCCTCCCCCTCGTGGCTGCCCCTGGCGCTAAACTGCTATATATGGGACCTTTCCGACGCGCTGGGAGCGAGAGAGAGAGGAAGGGGCAAAGCTAGATGTATAGAGAGAGAGAGAGAGAGACACAGAGAAGCAGAGCGGCGCGCACTCGAGCTGGGCGCCGCCGCGATTTCGGACACGCCCCCCCCCCTCCCAAACCCTCTTCCTCTTCCCCCATACCCATGCCTCGTGGAAGCGCTTTGTTCTGAGTCCCCCAGATGTCAGATGGCTTCCGCCCTCAATATACAACAACGCCGCCCCGCCCGGACAGGTCGGCAGGTCGGGCAGCCCCCTGGCCGGGGCCACACAAGCCTCGGACTTGCACTTCGCACCCACCCCTCCTCCCCAAAGGGATACTACTCTATAAACTCAAGCGTACACCAGTTTTTAATAAAAAGAATTCTGTGACAATTTTAAAATTTGTTTCTGAATTGATTTTTTTGTTTTTTTTTATCTCTTCTTTTCTAGTTACAGGGTGCACTTTTTTTTTGAAGAAGCCCTTTTGCGTCCTCCACGTGGGGAAGTCCATACAGATGGAAGTGGTGCGCTAAAATATTACGCCCGCGATCCAAAAATTTTTTTTTTTAAATGGAAGGAAGTTGTTGTTTCTTCACTGAACAGTGCATTGCTCCCGCAACCAAACATTCATCATTACAATCTGAACATCGTGGAAAACAAAAAATCACTCTCCAGAACTCCAGATCGTCCCGTGTCGTCGTGCGTATGGACCCGGCGCCACGTGGACGTCGGCGATGAAATAGGAGGGCGACCCATTCGAGTCATTCGCACTCCATCACGGCCATCATCATTATTTGCCATTACACTAGCCGGCTCCACGGCGGCCCGGGCCAGCCGAACGAGTGCGGCCAACAGAACCCGTTTTGGGCCCGCCCCCCCCCCCCTGCGCAGCCTCCCGCGCGAGTTTCCATATAAAACTCGATTCAATGTCTTGATCAAGAACCTTTTAATAATATTTCCTCAGAAACCTGGCTCCAATGATGTCATAGAGGCGATCTGGTATTATTGCCTATGAGCGGTCTGAATAAGCGAAATATCGTGTGTGTACTGTGTGTGTGTGTGTTTGTGTGTGTTTGTTTGTTTGTTTTGTTTGTTTGTTTAATTGTTGTTTTGCTTTCGATGAGCGCTAAAATTTTGCTGCCGAGGTTGTTTTGCAGTGTAGTAGGGCGGGAGACACGCTGCTAAATCAAGTCGCGACCATTGTCTTCCCGACATGACGATTGGTTAATTCATTACTCGCTGACAAGGGCATCATACTCCTGCTCATGACATCCAAGAGGTTATTTAGTTCCTCTTCGTCAAAATGCAACACTCTGCAAGGTCCATTGAAAGAGATGAGTGGTCCTTCCTTATATTTCGAGGCAGAGAGCAGGTGTCGGTGTGTCGGTGTTCCTGAGCCGGACCTTTTGCATCAGGATCTCATCGGCTTCAGGATCTTTTCCCTCGAGGCGGATCTACAACAGCCAAAAGGATCTCCGTCGCTAGAATCTCTGTTTGAGTCGATGGGATCAGTATCGGCAACCCAATTACCTTTCGATACGCCAGAGCCCGGTATACCCGGTACCCTTGCCGTCAAAGTCTTAGTAGTGTGCGGGAGGGCTGCGTCAGGACACACGTCTTCTCTCTCTCTCTCTCTCTCTCTCTCTCTCTCTCTCTCTCTCTCTGCCTGCTCTGCTCAAGGCGTCGAGCCACAATTAGATCCTTTAAGACTCGCGCGCTGCGCGGCGCTGCAAAAGGCATCACACAATAACAAAGCTCGACAATGACATGTCTATCTCCTTTACTTTACTTTTTTCCGCCCCAGCGGTATGTGAGACGTGCGGCTTTGAGGCAAATCAACACTTTCTTGTCGTAATTGGTTAATCAGACGTGTCGTTGTTGTACAGCCTCTTAATTAAGAACGCGCGGAGCGTTTGAATCTGAGCGTCCATAATAATAATTACATTTTTTTGCCTGTTTATTAATTTCTTTTCTCTGCCTTTTTTGCAATGCTCTACTTGCGCTGCATGCGCTTGCCGACCAGAGCAGCAGGATTTACCTTTTGCGCGCTGTATAGCGCCGCACCGCGGCCGCATCGATACAATCGAAAGTCGTATCTCGAACGGTCGAGCGGTCGACCCAACCTCACACGTTCAATGCTGCTGCTGCGCGGCCAGGCCACACCGCAGGCTGCAGGCAGCAAAGCTTTTGCGTAGAGATAGCGCGATCGACAGGCATCGCGGGCCGAGCCAAGGCACTGCGCCACGCCACGCCACGCCACGCCACGCCACGCCTCGCCACGCCACGCCACGCCTCGCCACGCCACGCCACGCCACGCCACGCCTCGCCATGGGTCCATGAATGAACTCGTGATTCATGGCTAAGGTGAGGC